GCTCATGGCAACATCTAGCTGCATGACGCGTCCTACATATTTCGTTGTTAACTTGCAAAGGTTGGATACACAAGTTATTGTCCTGAATTCGCTGCCTTTACTTGGTAAACCTTTTGGAATCAGGTAGGTAGTAGAAACACGGATTCTGTTCCTCCCCACCCAGAAAATCCTTCCTACCATTTTGTACAGGTCTGGATGCAAGGAAATGCACTTCTTAATGAAGTTATAAACTCTATCAGGCGCTGCCGCTTCCCATTTGGGAAATAGGAGACTATCTTCCCAAATTCGGGTTCAGAGGAAAATTATCATGCACTTCATGATCTGGAAAGAATTTTTGCAGATATTTGTTGTGGAGTTCTACATCGTACCCCAGAAATCCCTGATTTCCTCAGTCCTGACATTGTGGGCTGTTCTTCGGTCAGACTTCTATAAAACCGTCTTCTGAACAGTTCTAATCTGGCGTTTTGTTTTTTGAATGCACATCGGATCTCATAACTTTTTAATTTACTTTCGTAAACTCTCACACGGTCTGTCAATATGCTTAACGCTTCATGACAGTCACGCTTCAGAGCAATTATGAGATTCATCTCCCTCATACACTTCTTGGCCTCTTTTAAATGATTACCTTCAAGTTTTCCACCAGACAAAGTCCGTTCTACGAGGGATTTGTGGAAATTCAATAAGCTTATCTTCTCTTTTATGCTTGCTTTCCACCCCGATATCTTTTTCTCTCGCCTCGCCATGTCTTCATAACATTTTTGTGCTGCCTGGAGCTGCCTTGCAATATCCGTCATTGACTTGGGGGAATTTTGTGTAGCATATTCACACGTCGCTTGTTTTATTGCTCCAAGTATGAGCGGGTTCAAGCTCTCCGATGCTATTTTTCGCGTCTACTTTGTCTGGTTTATCTCACATTCCTGTGCCTCTTGCATCAGCATTAAATATTTTTCCTTCACATTTAGATAAACCTTAGACTCATGTAGCGTATTTTGTGAATTTAATTGTTTCGTGTACTCCTCCAAGAACTGTTTCTGTGAGCACGGACGACTTGCAATACCGGTGATCACATAATTTGCTTGCTTCTTCAGTTCTTCGAGGGTTATAGCACACGAAATTTCTCGCTATACAGAGAACGACACAATGGCCATTCCCTTCTCGGCATTCTTCCAAATCGGTAAGGATCGCTTTCAGCATCTCTCCCGGCCACTTGATTCGTGGGTTTCAATTCCACAAAAGATTGCTTCAAGCGTGACCATTCTGCTGGCACTGGATTCCGGCACACTGGCAGTATGTTCTTTTACACTCTTCACATAGCTTTTCCTAACCGCATCTGTTTTCGCATTGTTTTCATTTATGGTTCCAGATGCGGAATTCTTCCTTTTAGCCTCCATTTTATGCTCGTTGAATACAACCGCTCAGAGCTAACCTCGGAGCCAACTGCTCAGCGCCTCCGTCAAAGTCGACAATATATATATATAAATCAATAAAAAACCCTGAATACCGAATAGTGCAATTTTCGCCTTCAGTACTTTGTTCTCGAAGTCTTTATATCGTATCAAAGTAGAATCGATATCATCTTTCAAACGGCGCAAACCAAGTTCGATGTAAGCAATCTCCCTAAAATTTGAAACCACCTAAATAACATCTGAAATAAATATTTTCCCAAATATGAATCCAGCAAATCACACTCAAACTGACATCTGAAAAAATTAATGTTTTCAGCATCCCTGTTCCATCAAAAATCTCTAGTTTATTCAATATTCAGAGCTCATCAAATATAGAGAACTACATGATCATTGTGTTTGTAAAAGATGTGCTTTAAGATTAATAACATCGAAACTATGAAATAATAATAATTATTATTATTATCAACTAATTGATAATGATGATAAACGATAATAATCAAAAATAATTAATAATTATGATAATTATTATCAATAACAATATTAACAATAATAATAACAGTGAAATAATTTTTAATAACAATAATATTAATATTATTATTAATATAAGTACTAATAATGTAAGTAGTAATAATATAAGTAAATATTAATAATACTGATGAATAAATGTGAGTAAATAATAAATAATAACAAATACTTTCTATGTTCCGATTGCATTATCTTTATGGACGAAATCTGAAAAATACCTTTCAAGGTGACGTCTCTGTTCTACACTATCACGTATTTCTTGAAGTTGCTGCTGAATTTGTATGCCCTGCATTTACTTGATTATTTTATATCAACTTAAACATGCAATGGAATATGTTCTTTTAAAATGGAAATGTTAGTTGTGTATTTTTTTAAAATCCTACAGATCAAGAAAATGTCAATATTGAACGAATGACGAAAGACTAAAAAGACAAATAAAGTCATTTTGAAGAATAACTGAAAATGAACATTTTATTGGAGATGAATAGATTTTGCGCAACGTTTGTATGTAAAAATATGTGAACAAAATGATAATTTTCTCAATGCAAAGGAACTGCAGTTCCGAAATCGCAAAATCAGTGCAAGAAATGAAGTATTAAGGCGTTAGTGATGAATCAAAATAAAAATACCAATGACGGTTTTAGTAACCAAATTCAAGCAGAGCTATTGTTATATTAAATATAATGATAGGATAGGCTTTCAAACTTCAGTTAGCTTACTTTTTCGATTAAATGACGTTCAATTAGTTTCTTCTGCGAGTTTTGAAAATGAACTACTTGTCTGATATATTTCTCTGCATCCTCAATCAGTATTTTCACGGGCTTTAATATTTTAAATTAATTTGAAAACTAAAAATACACCAAAATTATGCCATCTTAATTTCAACAGTGTAAAACTTAAGCACAGTTCTGAACAAGTGTTTGTGCATTACCCTGTAAACCTTTGCCAATAAGATTAGGATGAGAGTCGTTTTAGGAACTTACATAATCTTGACAAAGTGTAAAATGAGTTGTTAATTGAGATATGAACCTATACTTTGCGCTTAATGTATATGCATTCCTTTATATATCTGTGTAATGCGGTTGGAAAATAATTTCAGTAAAACAGGTAACATAAAACAGTGTTACAGTGCTTACTTCTTACTATATGTAGAATGATTTTTTTGCACTACTAATACTTGTAAAGACTGGTTTTGTTGCTGTCAAATATCACAATACTACATGAAATGAGCGGCAAACATGGATGGAAAAAATGCGCATCATTTTTTTTCCGCTCAACATTAACATTATTTTTCATGAATACTTACGTAGAGTAACTTCATGATGTAAAACGGTAATTTCGAGCTCATCGGACGTGTTTGAATACCTTTGTGATCACAAATTTTGCAGACTTTCGTATTACCTTCAAATACTATTTCCAAGAAAATGCAAAGTATAACATAATGAAGTAGAAATAAATTTGCAAAGAGACAAACCAATAGTTCTGAAGCAAGCATTGCAGAAAATGTGTCCACAACTATTAAGATGGTAATTGCGAACTTCAGAGATCGTATCCGGAAAACGAATGCATAAATTGCAGTGGAACCAAAATTCCATTTCTTCTCAATCCTATGTTATATATATATATATATATATAATACAATGAAAAATTTCGTTAAGTAATCATATTATCAATTACTGTAAGACAAAAAGTAAAATTGACTTCACGATTCAAAAAAACCAGCATGCCATCATAAGTTTTGTAAAGCAACAAACTAAATGCCACAACCACTCTTCATTTATTGATCGCTTGCCGTAAAATATTGTCTCTTGCAATGTGAGAAAAGTCATACAAGTGACCGGATCAGTATATAATGAAATAATCCTACATAAGAAAATTAAATGTGGCCTACAAATGCTAACATAGGCCCCTGACCAAGCACAATCTCCGACAAGCATATCTACTGTTAAACATTTTAGGCTGCAGCTTCAAATCAATCACAGATTACTATCTTCGTTTTAAAAAACACAGATATAACGCAAGCCTAACTGTATTGCTGTAACGAGCACGTTGAACAATGGCTCGTCCCATTTTAGCGTAAAATTCATACGCTAGCTGTCTGACAATGCATTGTGCTGTACTTTAGTCGCAGAGTTGGTAAAGTTGCAGGATACCGTATGTTGCAAAGTTTGATTAAAAATTTTATTGTCGTTAACTCGAACTATTATATTATTGCTTTTTTTATTTTCCGTACATTTGTAAACAAGTCAATAATAATAGTACTAAAGTTAATTTATGTACGATTGAAAACAAAGACTTGCATAAAGTTGCAACAATGGAATTTCTAATAAACATTAGTAAAACATAGGGGAGTCTCTTAATAATATACAGTAGTTCGACTTCGTCGACGTCCACCAGGTGTTTGCGGAATTGCACATAACTTTGAACAGTTGCTTACATGATGCATTTTAGAGCCACAATGTTCATCGCTGCCTGATGCTACCTGGATTCGTTTTTTTGTTACTTATTGAAAGCAGATGGTAAGATTATACTGAGATATAACGTTCTTTAATGTGTATGTCGGATTTTTGCTAACATGCAGTTTGATGAAACCACTTTTCCAACATTTAAAATATTTGGAGTACGAACGATATTATACATACCTCATGCTCAAATTGTTCCAAAAAAGTCCCACTGTTTTGATTACTTTCTATTGGTGTTTGTGCTCCGTGACCGATGCGCGACAGATAATGACGCGTTGATACTGAACGTCTGATTTCTTTTCTATCACATAAAAGGCACTCAAAAATAAATTAATTAGGACTGAGGTCATACTGAAGCAGTAGACTAAAAATAAACATCTTTGCCATGTTAAGACATATAAATTTGATGAAAAATTACTTACACATGCATATAACAACGAAAGCACAATGATTACAGCAATAACGATAGAAGCGCCAATTAAAACTGCAACAATTTATTTGATTTGCTGGTAAGTCGTATATTTTGTAACCATTCAAAAGAATGTGCCATAAATATCGCGAATAGCATTTCATGTATGATATTAACGGTACAATAGGTATGCACAAAAGCATTATTATATAGCATTTCTATGAAATCCTTTATTACTGGAAAACTTTTTAAATTTAAAGATCTAAAGCTTTAGATTAACTTTTAGCATATTTGAGAAGTCGTTTAACCTAGCAAAAATAAGGTGCCACTTAATGCTGTTCTAGCAATTTGGCGACTTGTCCAAGAATGCGGTTCTGCTCGATAAACTTTGCCATCGTAAGTAAATTGAAAAGAACCTTCACTGATCTGTCATAAGATGTTAGAATTAATTCCATTGAAACAAACTGTTTGCTTCAGTAAAGTTTCTTTCAAGTTACAAATTTCAGTTCTTCTACTATTGAGCAAAATAACTCTGATAATTCTGCATTGTAAAGGAGGCGCTTACCGAATCTGAAATATTATTTGCTTTCAGTTTAGCGTCCTCGCCAGTCAAGAAGAACTGCACTGTATTGTTATCGTCGATGATAATATCGCTGACTTCGCCATAATCAATATTGAATTTTTTGGTTAGATACATGTGAAACTCTCTGTAACATATTATTTCTAATTTGGTTTGGAAAGAAAAAGACTTCGAGAACATAATTTAGACAGTCTTTAATTAAAATTTGTGAATTCCTATACATTAATCTTTGCTCATTAACAAAAACATAGTTACTAACTTATTTATATCGTGCTGATGTCTTTCACGAAGTAGTGGTCCAGTGAGAGAAAATCCCAATTGATAAGTGTCCATAACTTTGCCCATATCAGTGAAGGAATCATATAAATCCATATCGATACCTAAACATAATTTTTCGCAATCTTTTTTATTGATCAATTTTGTGCTCCCTAAGACTGTCTCTCTTTTACATTGCTATTACTGTAGAACGATTCTCGTCCTACAGTAAAATAGTAGTGTATAGCAGGACAGTCCTTTTCATATTGACATTTTAGTGACCGCCCACCAACTAGATTTGAAAATAATTTACCATAAGGACAACTAGTAAAGTCTTTGCCATCCCGTCGTTCCTAAGTTTCCAACATTAAATTATTTCTGAATTTGCTATAGTACACTTAAGAATATTTTCTAAGCTTCGATCAAGACATCAGTTGATCGGAAAAGCTATTATGCTTTGTTCAAAATATTTTAAAATTTTTGCAGAAATGTCTCCACTTGATTATCAGAGTTGTAAGACATTAAATTAAAAAATTCTACTTTCAGTACAGCATACTCCCCATGATGTTTCATCGTAACCTGTGCAATAATATCCGCGAGGGCAAGTTTTAGAATGGTCTTTGTTACAAGGCCAATGAATATATGTTTTCTCATCTAATGCCGGCTTTTGAGGGCCATCACATGGATTCGGTTCACCTGAAACAAAAAAAAGGTTAATAGGTTTACGTGAGTTTCAGAAGTTTTTTTAAAACAATATTGATGACAAGCAAAAATCTGTTAAAAAATATGTATAAAAAATTCATAATTAAAGTGATCAGAGATGCTGGTAGAATTAGGAGTGTAGGCTTAATTCAACTATTAAAAGCGAATAATTACTGCGTTTTCTGAATGTTACAGCATGAAAAAAAACTAACATGATGGCATAGGAAAACAGGGAGATTCAGAACAGTTTCCTTGTCGCAGGATGCAAATTTGGTTGTTAGAACACTGGACTTCATCACACAAATTTCGACATTTGCAACTAACATTTTTTGGACAACTATCTGGACCTAGTTCGACATCAAATGGACACGTCACATCATTGCAACTAATGGAACAATTTTTTCTATCTAAATTCAAACTCATTTTTCGAAGTTTCAATAATTAATCCTATTTATAAGGAAAGTTAATTTTTGAGTAGTCTAAGAATAAAGTATTAAAGTATAATTTGAACGTTGACTTATGTCCAGACTGTTATATACTGAAAACAGTGTGACCAAGTCATTTTAAATACGAAATTACTTGTAGTATAAGTAAAATTCAAACCAACTAGAACAAATATCATATATATTGGTGAATGACTCAAGCAATTTCATTGTTGAACCATAAGCAACAACACCAGTTACTGAATCGACACACCAACAATTGTTAGATTCATCACACTGCAGTGTTTTGAACAGACCTACAAAAGTGATAGATGCAAAGAAATTGATAGCAGTCTGTACAAAATTTACTCCTTTTCAAAGACACAAACAAGATCATTGATTGTGAGATTTTCAAGAAAAAAATGTTACTGCTTACCAGTATTTTCATCACATTCAGGCGTGTGTAGGTTAACAATAGCGCCGGATGCAGTAAGTTTTCTTATAACACTATACAGTTGAATACAATCTAAAAACAGTGCAGTATTTTCCTGTCGATAGCTAATGATTGATCTTTAGAGAAATCCTTTTAGTCCCAAATTAATGTAAAGAATCATTTCTTCATCAATTTTGCAGTTTAAAGAAAAAATATATAGGTTTTTGAAACAAACATACTTGTATTTTCTGGATGCACACAAATTTTGGCACAACCGTAATCACAACACAGTTTCATTCCATCACATGCTGAATTACTTGAACATTCCACACTACAGTCTGAAATCAGTAAAACAAAATTTTAAAGTATATCTGTCAGGAAATTTTTGAAAAACTTGCAGTAAAATACTTCATCAATTTGAAAAACTTGCAGTGAATACTTCATCAATTTTGCAGTAAAATACTTAAGGTGAGTTTTGTGTGTAATTAACAAACTTTTTATAGATAGAGCTTTTGACGGTACAATTAAAGGGCACTTTCCAAATTTCTCTTCTAAATGCGCTCTTTCCACGTCTTCTGAATCTAAAGGCATTATGCGAATGGTACAGTGTATCATACTTCATGTCAAGAAAGGCAGTAACATGAATACAACTACAATTTTTTTCGTGCTACAAAGCTGACAACTTTTTTTTCCAGAAAAGAAGTTCAGGCTGTTGTTTACCGAACAAAAATACTGAAGTACCTGAGAAACAACATATTCCATGTGTTCGTTCATTTGGCAATAACTTACATGAACCTTTGTCACAGTCATGATTTCGTACACATGACAACACATTATTATTTTTATCTCGAAGGGGTTTTGAGTGCTTTGAACAAGGACTTGATTTGCCTGTAAAATGTTTACCAAGTTAAAGATACACGAAACATACATTTTGACCTACTTTAAGAACTGCTGACTTTTAATAACTAAAATTTTGAAATATGATTTGGCAATGACAGTAGCATACAAAAACATGAAATTTATGTTTTATGCTGGAACTTGGTCCTGTAAAATATAAATTACACAAAGGCATTAGTGGACACGGTGAAGTTATGCAGGCAACTGGCATAAGAACGCAAACATCTTTCTTCCGAGCGCACTTTATATCCTGAAAATAATGAAAATTTGGTAACCATTGCCATAGTGTTTTTTTTAAACTCTGTTTCACGACTAGCTTAAGAAATGCAGCATTAAAAAATACTTCGCATGGATTTTTGCATTCACATAAACCATCTAAAGGGCATCCACTGACATCCAAACGAAAACCATAACTGCAACTAATTCCATCACATTTCGTTGAGCAAGCATTCGGGGCTAAAAACCATATAATACTTTATTACAGCTATTCACTCAGAATGTAAAAGAAAACTATTTCTGTTCTATAACTGAATAAAAATAAGTTGCCGTAACAAAAATTATTTGCTGTAATCATTTGATCATTTTCGTAGTGCAAGTAAAGCTGAAAATGAAAAGCGAAAGAGGTTACATGAACACAATCGCATTTTTTGTTTTTTTGCCTTTCAAAGACAGTTTGAAAAAAAAGAAAGTTACCTTCACAGTTCGGCTCGGCGACAGCAGCCATGACTCTTGAACCAAGCAGTTCTTCTCCACTCTTCGTATTTACACACCAACAATACCTAATTTGACGCATAATAACTATAATGCTTATTCTTCATTATCGATATTTGTCTGTTAAATTCTGAATTATTTAAACCCTACGCTAAAGTTATTGAGACTAGCAGTGCACCTATAATACCATGTTTATTTTAGTAAGAGTGGATTCATGGAGTACGTATTAATACTGAACTGTACCTTATTTGCTGATCACACTGCACACTTTTAAATGACCCATCTTCATTGCATTCAATTCTAGGACCATATATTGATAATTTTTTATCTTCTCCATTATAGTATGCCAATTTATGGATACAAGCTGAAATTTATGAATATGTAAGTATCTTCTTAGCTTTTATGAACTTGCCCTTATTATTATTATTTATTACTGAAATAAAGCTATCTATCAATGACAGGATTTTAAAAGCGCTATAAGGGCATCAGTAGTTCATAAAAAATTCTAATCGCCAAAATTTAGTTTCAAGCATTAAAGTGACAGAGTGATATAATTTAATAAAAACAAAGTATCAAGTTTTTACTTTTATGGATGAAACAAACCTGTAGCGTTGTAAGGAAAAGTGCATGCACTACTACAGCCCTTAGCACAACATTTTTGAAAACCTGGACAATCGCTATCCCGTATGCAATCACTTCTACAACTTGAACCAGACAAATCATCTACAGAACAATCTCCAAGTTTTTCAAATTCTCGATGTAACGCTGCAAAAAAAGAACTTTTTGTTCAAATTTTATCTAGCGTTTTTCATGACAAAAATCCAACATGTTAAAGATGAAATATTCATAGACTTGTGGCTTTTGCTCAAGTGGTCTTTAATTTATCTATTGTCATAAACTGATAAAGGGAAGATTTTTTATTTGCAGTAAATTATGCAAAAGAAGGGTGCAGTGTGTTAGCGAGCTATAACACCTGGCAGTTTGAAAGAACAATTTACGCGCGAAACTGATGCCAACATTTGAAATGCAGTATTAAAAGCATGCCTTTAGAGAAATTTCGACGCGTGTCTTTATTGACTTCTTTTTCAGCTGAAGAGAAGCAGGATGTTCCACAGCCGTTAAAGCAACACTTTCCAAATGAACAATCATTATGTGTACGACACTGTATTGAACAGGATTTGTAATCTGTTAGCTCATTTTCAAAGACTGTCGGGCATACTGCTTGTGAAATTGCTGAAATTTTTTCTTACAGTTAGATGATTTTGGAGCACAGTTTTAAGTTTCGATATAAAATAAAGAAAATTAAATTCAGGAAGTGACTGAGAAAAAAGTTTGTAAAATTATTAGAAAATAACGTGACCATTCCCAACGCAACAATATGATGACGACGATAATAGTGGGATGCCAATTTGATGACAGAAATAACCCACGGGACATAAATGATTATCATCTATGTGACAAAGTATAAGTCGCTGTCCACTAGGTAATGTTAGCGGCTCACCTTCTGGACAAACATTTAATATACCTAAATAAAGAGTAAATTCAAAAAGTACAGAGTAGAAGAAGGAATGTTTAAGATTGTAGCCCTTTTATAAGTACACGCTTTCGTATTTTAGTCTCAAAAACTTTTTAAAATATTTTTTGTTAAGGATATAAATGTGCAGCAGATTAAAATGAAAGAAGATGGAAGTAGAAATGTCTCAATCTTGCGAAAAATTGCTAGTGACGGAATATAATACCCTTTCATTTAACTGTTTTATATTGATTACTTTCAAAAATTTCTATCAACAAGCAAATGAGTGTCTTTGGCATAGCTAGAAAATATATGCGATCTTTAGCACAGATAGTGCCATCTGTAAAAGTCAGAGAGCAATGACATTTGAATCTTCTTTCATTTAGAGTGCACCTACAAAGTAATGAATGAATTACTAACTACCCACACTTTGGGATTGGTTCACAATTTCTTTTCAAGCACTTCACATCTATTAAGCGACAAACATGAGTTGATGGGCATATAATATTGTTGCAAGGATTATGACAACGACATGAATCACAGCCATATTCGTCTTTTTCATACCTAAAGGTAGCGATGGTCAAGAACCTAATCTTGATTGCATACCACTGATAACTTTATAAAGTGAACACTTTTTACTCTCACTACAGCACGATTTTAACCAAAATTTTTATTTTAGTGTTATTTATGAGATAGCAGGAAGCAGTCAGCGCAGTTATACGAAATCTGATTTAAGGAAATGGTTTTAAAAAGTTTAAGAAACAAAATTATGATTAACACATGCCCAAAAGGGCAGTCGAATTTGCAATCCAGTAGTGGACAGGACCGGGGCGCATCACAATTTGGAAATATTTGGGCACTTCGAGTTCCTGAGTATGAATAAAAGGTTTGTATAAACATCAATTATGACATGTTATAACTACAGAAGGAACAAGATAACAAGTGCAGCAGATTTAGTGAGAAAGTTTGTTATCCTTTACCTTGAATTTCTTGACCTTCCTCATTGACACACCAATAGAACGGGTCTAATTTTTGGATTTGAGCAAAATTACCGAAAGTATCGCATTGTGGAATAAATGACTTTGGTTTAAAAACTTCAGAAGCGCCATAAAAGTGAAGGCAAGCTAAAATGATCAGAACTTATGTAACATTACATCTAGTATATCGCGTATTATTAGAGAAATATATTGAGTACTATGAGAGGAAATTTTGAAACACGTTTTTATGTAATTACAAGCATAAAATATTTTAAATTATTTAGGAAGCAAGCCTGTAGTCGTTTCAGGATAGAGGCAGATTTTCTTGCATCCATTTGAGCAACACTTCCGCACAGTATTACAATCATTGTCATTTGTGCAGTCATTGGTTTTATTGTCATGACAGCTTGATGAGTTGACGCTTATCTGCGGACATGCGCCTATTTTTGACGTAATTACAGGAAAAGATCCTTTTTCTAAAAATAAAAATAATTTTGTTTATTTCAGCTATCAATTTTATTTAATTCAGTAGACTCTTGATCTCAAGAACTTCAAAGACTAATTACAAGCTCTGATTAAATTCGACCGTAAAGTCATCAAATGAATAAGAAATAATTAGAAATCACAAAAATTTTATTTCTTAATTATTATGCCTTGGATTGCAAATGCTTTTGTTGTGCAACTTATAATTCGGACATAAGCAAATTGCGAATTGTTAACAACTTTTTTGAATACAACCAGTAAGAAAGGAAGTCTACTACAAATATTGCACGACAAAAACTACGTTACTGTAACATTTGTTCAAGAATTTCTATGGTAGGAAATTACCAGAGTGCCAACAGCAGTAACCACTTGAATCACCAAAAATATAACAAAATGATTGCAAGCCCAGTAAATTACAATCTGTGTCACTGCTACACTGAATGGCTTGAAAATTGGTTTGATCAATTATCGGTGATCCGTAAGGGCAGAAATTGGTTATACAGTAGGGCACACCGCGACATGCACTTCCAGTGCAAATCACCATTTGCGCCACACAAATTTCGTTTTGATTTGGACAAATAATATTCTAAAGTTTTTAATATGAACTGCTCTGATCATTCAAAGGAAGATAACTTAAAATAAGAAACAAATCAGTTTTCTTCGTACTTAAATATGGAGTATAGTATAGAATAATTTTGTAATCCAAAGTAGTTAGATGAATATTGCAAAAAGCAATCAATGAAGACTGTACTAATAAATTTATCCAAATTAAGCCTTAAGGAATTTAAATTAAACCTGGCGCAATTTCAGATGATGCTTCTTTCAATGAAGACTTTGTTATATTAAAAAAGATATATTTTTGAAAAGAAAACAAAACAGAAAAGATATATTTTCCTCAGCAAAATTTAACAAGATGCAAACATTGAATGGATAAAATGTTACTTTACACGGATTGAGACATTGACATGTTTTACAACCATACGTATTCGTTTCAAATCCATATGTACAATTTTTTTTCTCTGGGCAGGGGATTACCGAGCACAGTCGCCGGACTGAAAGAAAACACCTTAATTAAACTTATCTTCGCTTTTACTTATTGTAAAGGAATAAAATATTCGTGCCTATGGGAGTTATCCGGTAGTATTTTTTCCTATCTATTAAACAAAAGTTATTCCAGAAATCAAGAAACTGATACAGAAACAAAGCAATTTGTAAAAAATGCAAGAGCTTTGTGAAAGGTCTACTTATATAAGTAATCTTTCGGATTTTTTACCCCTAAAAAATATTTCAGACCTTGACAGTTTGGTGTAACTGAATCAAAAACTTTGGTTCCTTCAAATTCTAAACCAGTTTGAGAAACACACCAGCAGTACGATTCATCACATTGTATTTCATTATAATTGCCTTCTGAAAAAATTTTTGTAAGAGTAATAAATTTCAAAATATTTTCAAGCAAAAGCGATAAAAAACAATGTATGAATTAAAGCTCAACAAATGGGATCTTGGATTTAAAACTGTAAAAACTAATTTTTGAAGTCAAAGAAATCGTACTTTCATCACAAAGAACAGCATTCTTCAGACCAAATTTTTCGTAAGCAAATCTAGCTTGCAAACATCCTGAATTAATTTTTTCGATTTTAAGACTGGTATGATCATAATTTGGACGTATGAAAAAATTTTTTCATTGCAGAAAGCAAATAGATGGTTACTAATAGTTATAAAGTTGCTTTCAGCCGTCTTGTGCAATATCGTTTTTGTGTGTCTCTTCTCAAGTAATAAGTTTGACCCTCTGGCTTTAATTCAATAAGCAGCCCTCGGTCAATTCAGTCCCTTGCATTTTCATACTAATAATTAAATCACATAAAATGCGGCATAAGTCAAAATCTTTTAGCACAAGTGGGCTTGAATAATTTAAAAGCATGTATGCAAAAATTTGTTGGAAATAACCAGATGTAGATGTACAAATTGTTCCACACCCATCATAACAGCAAATAAAACCATCTTCACAATCACCATCTAAAAAATTAAAATCTTATATCAATAATTAGTTGCATTTCTACAAATGTACGTGTGAACACAAATTCTCGCTTCATTTATAATAGTAAATTCTGTCAGATTTTATAAACTTATCATTCTTCTCGACGATACAATAACGGTTCTAAAAGTGCAAAATTAAGCAATCAAATATTCGATAGTACCTGTTTTGCAATGAATTTTGCATGGTTCTTTGCGCTCAGTAAACGGTTCTATTGATTTGCATTTTGCATCATGACGGAATTGTCTTGTAAATGCAGGACAACATATTCCTTTAGATTGTACACCAATGTTATTACACCAGTATTGATTTGGACAATCTTCATCGTTTTTACAAAGATTTGAAGGAATAAGTATGCTTGAGGTTAGTGATGGACAAACGTTGGGCACACCTTAATTACTTGAGTCTGACTTGTGACATGGTAAAAAAGGCTATTGACTATAGTTAATTTGCAGTTTAGTGCCTGATTTAAAAAAAATTACTTTAAATCGTTTAAAATTATTCAAGATATAGTCAGTTATTCAAAAAATTCATCATTTATTCAAATAACAAAAGAACAATAATACTTTAGTGGTAAGTAGATTGTCTAACAATAGTAGCTAAGAATTTTAGAACGTTAAAATGTTGACGAGTAATTTTTTTAATATATTAAATTATGCATTTACAAAATACTGATATTAATTTAGAACAAGAATATGCTCAAAGTAATATTGATGATTCAGTGACTCAATTCGTAAATGCCTAAAATTGTAACAAATAGTTAGAAAAAACCATACTAAGTAGAAGACCTACAACGTGGTTGATCAGGACAGTAAACGTTATCAAGACATTCTACGCTCACCATCACGCAAATATATTCTTCAGCACATAAAATGCCTTTGCAAGGATTTCGGCATTCACATGACAGACAACCTTCACGTGTAATAACAAAACCGTGTGGGCAGTTTTTCGGACATATGAATGGCTCACAATCCAGTCGCCTTTCTGAAATTCATTTTGGACTGATTTTTTCTAATATAATATTATTCGAAATATTTATTTAATTTAAACGTAGTTCAATTTAAACGTAGCTTTTTAACAGTATTTGTTCGCAAACGCCGATGCAATTAATTATAAAATTCTAGCAATAAAAATACCATTTAAGATTCTAATAAAAATTTTGGATTCATTTTTCATCACAATGATGGAAAAGAAAAGCAAGTATCTCATGTTTGAATGAAATGTCCTTTTTTTGAAAAAAAAACAAGAACAAATTTTTCCAGATTGAAGAAGGTTGTTGAATGCTACTGAAATGCAAAATTACACGTTGTAAAGTTTAGTCTTCCTAATAAAATTGTTTCTATTATCAATTTTGATAAAGATTTGTAAATTTTATTTTTTCAAGTAACCAGTGATGCTGTTGCAAGCTGGTTTCATATTCAACTCTGTTCTGGTTGCAGGAATTTCACTCCCACTTATAGTGTCAACACAGTAACAAATGTTATCATCGCATTGGATTTGTTCATAATTGCCTCGATCTGTACACTTTGGTACTCGACCATACCCATAAATTTCTTGTGTAATAACTTCATGTAGACATGCTGTAATTTTTAAAGACTATGAAATTGAAATAAGTTTTATACCAAAAGTGAAAAATAAACTAAAGCAAAGACAACTTCAGTCAATAATAAGCAAGCGCAAAAATAATCAAAAATTGAAAATTTTTTAAATGTGTTTTAATATGCTACTTTCTCAGTATTTTGATAAAGTATGAAAAATCATTCACCAGTTGCCTTAGTAGGAAACAAACAAAGTGCAGAACAACTGTATGTACAGCATTTTTTAACACCTGGACAGTCTTCATCTATTTGACATTCTATAGAACACTTTTGCATGCCATAATGTGGAGGCATTTGTGGACATTCTGCTATTTGTTGCACTTTGATACCTGTATATGAATGGATTAAACAATGATTAGTTGATTATCATAATTAATGAAAGTTAAGCATATGGTTGGGTTATTCAGGAAGAAACGACCAAATCTACGAACGAAAACAAAGCGAGCAATAATTTCCTAAAATGGCGCATTTTTACCACTACCTTCACCATATTTGATTGAATACATTTGATTTCTGTTTCAAAAACTTTGCTAAATTTTTTCATTTTCATTTCTAAACTGGATCAATCAATCAAAAGTTTCCCAAAAACTAATTTAGTTCAATTGTTTACCTTTAACATTCATTAGTTTTCGAGTTGCATTTAACCAATTACCATAAGAATTAAAATAAATATTTTGACTATATATGCTGTCAAGTACACATCTGAGGCTGCAACCATCAAAGCAGCATTTTTTTGATTCAGAACAATCCGAATCAACTTTACATTCAGATTTACAATTTTCTGTGGATCGCGATGAAATTGCTGCACAACTTCCATTATGCAATACTGGTTCAGGATGAGGGCAGCAAAATCCAAAGGCATTAAAACCAATCTGAAATATAAGAATAATTAATATATTTTTTTCTGATAAAAATTAGCATTTTAAAAATTAACTAGCAAGAAACTTACTTAAAAAAAGTTATGCTTGTATTTTTTGCAATGAAAAAAAATCAAAGTGAACTACTAATTGCATGATTTATAATTCTTATCTGATGACACCAGTGATTGGATAAACACTGGCTTGTATGGGTACACAGTGCTGTTACAGTGTTGGACAAACTCATAGGTATTCCTTTCGGACATGGATTCAATAGACCTACAATTATAATACTTTATAAGAAGTTCTAGCCTGCTGAAACAAGTAAAGTGTAACGAGAAACTTTTATATAAATAAAGTACAAATTTTGGAATTATTGAAGTAAAGTTTGCTTGACTATTAACTGAAAATAAATTTTGGTAAAGAGATAGCTTACATCGCGGTACTGGTTGACATGGTGGTTGTGCACATTCTGGCTCTACCATTTGACAAATATCGATGCTACCAGTACATTTCACCTCTTCACAATTATCTTTGCAATCACATTTACTCAATGGACAACCTGCTTCATCTGTTTTATAGCCAAACTGACAAAATTTTGAGCATAACTTAGTCGAACAATTTGTTTTTTCTAAATAAAAATAATTTTAATTACAAATCAGGCATCTTTAATATTCTTGCTTCATGACATAACAAATTATTAAATGATAATAAGGTTTTCATAATTGAATCCACAGATTCAGTATTGAAGGAAATTGTTTATCGCAAAATAAGCTTTTCTTCAAACTCACGTAGACAATTCGGCAAAGCAATTTTCTTTAAAGTTTTGGTTCCAATAATTTCAACACCTTTTTGATTTACACACCAACAGTAAATGTCATCACACTGTATACTCTCGAATTCCCCATTAACTTTACATTTTGGTATGTATCCTTTTGCCAACGTTTTATTCGGTAGTCGGCTTATTGCTGATAGGAGATGTATGCAATCTTCAAACTTCATGTGTAATATTAGATTACTAGAGGATAATCTATTAATTTACTTGGCTGAATTTAATTAGATTTTTGTGCTTATATATTTCTTCTTACTTATGAGTGGATACTTTAATTTTAATTCAGTGCAGTATTATGATTTAATTTATTTGATGAAAATCATCAAATAGAATGCCACTAAATTTTGACTTGAACTACTTTTACGTTACTAGAAACCTGTTGCTTTTTCAGGTGGTGTGCAAACACGACCACAACCATTATCACAACACTTTTCAACCCATGGACAATCTTCATCATGAGTGCATTCTAGCACACAGTTCCGATTCTTGACGTAATTCTTGAGAGGACATTTTCCGATTCGATAAGTATGTCCTGAAAAAGTAATTGCTGATGTTTTTCACCGCTTAATTATCATGCATGCACTTAATTTGCGATAATATCATCACTTTAAAGTATATTTCAGGACAAGAAAACTTCTTTAATATTTACAATTTGAATTTCTGTTGGTTTCTAGTACGATACATAATAGTTTTCAATGTACATTATCACATTTTGCTTCCTGTACTTTTTATTTTCTTATAAATAGTCATTTACGTGTTTATGTAGAATATTTCAACTTTAGCACTTTTAATTAGCATACTTGGAAGAAATAACTTTATAAATAGCATTTTAGTACGTTTATTTAAACGGTAAAGTACTTATAGATTCTGCAAAGTATACAATAAACAAACGTTTAGAAATGTGAAGTTTCAAAGTTAATGACTGAACACATGACTGTATTGAAAACTGTCGATATACTACAAATTATTAATTGTTCTTTGCTTCAAGAAGCTCCGATTTTAACATGACTTTCACTGCTTTTACGTAATTTACCCATAGAAATACAAGGAAATCTCATCTTCTTTCTTCAAACAAACAAACCAGTTCTTTGAAGAGGATGAATTGATAACGAATTGACTAGTGGTAAAGGACTTAAAGCAACAGTACACTCTCGACCACAACCATTGCTGCAGCATTTCATCATGCCACCACATTCACCATCACTTTTGCACCGCTGAATACAGGTACCACCGATAAGATTTGGACATTCACCAGGCTTAGTAATTATTCCTTGCTGATTTGTCTGGGACACTAAAACGCATTAAGCAGTTGTTTCCAATTTTTCTTTTCAGCAATTTCATGACTTCATCAAGAAACAATATTTATTATGAGTGTGTTAGTGAGTCTTTTGACAGACCTTGAATGACAATTACTGTTATTACTACCACTACCACTACTATCACTTCTACTAACTCCAGTTTTTTCCTATTTTTTTTTGACTATTTAAAGTTTCATTTTTCTTGTCTATTACTTTTCTTACAATTATCGCCTTTCTTGCATGAAAAGTTTGAAATACAACTGTGCAAGTAAATGCAAGTAATGATGACTCATTATTCATTGTCAGTTACTTATTAAACAAAGTTTAAATATTTGAGTTGAATGAAAACTATGATCAAGAGTGAACCACTTTTGAAAGAATTGTATAAATCACACAATGTCAATTGATACTATAAAAATGAACAGGTGGTACAAATTAACACGATGAAAAATGACATTCAAAAAGTAAATATATTCATGAGATCGATTATGAAGTTTAATATGAAGTGTGTTAGACTTGTTACAAAAATAACAGTTAATTTCTATGTTATAAATTTCGTTTTGCTTTACTCAATTTGCCATTTCATTCTTTTTCCAACTGATGCATCAAATTCAGTGAAAAATAAAAAAAAAACGTGAATACCGTTATTAGTCAAAAACTAATAAGGTAAATGTGACCAAGGCAGATTACTGCAACAATGATTGGAGCCAACTTACCAATATGAGAAACGCAAAATGCAGTACCGTCTTTATTTCTTAAGCAGTATTCATTTGGTGGACATATTTTTATCTGAAACATTGTCATTTTTCTTGAGAATTTATAACTAAACTAATTATTGCAGAATACTACTAGATATAAAGCTTGATGAAGAGCTGCAAAGAAATACTGGTATATATTTTTTCAATACAAAATAGATATAAAAAATTTTTCTTAATTTGCATTAAATGCTTAAACTTCCAGTCTCATCTCTAATGCATCGCTAATTGTGAAGAATCTAACTTACAAGACAAGGATCATATTGGCATATACATAAGCACTTTCCAGATGGAGCTAACTGATAACCAAAGGAACAATGAAGTTCACATTCAGGCGGACGTAAATGACAAGCGTGATTCACAGTTATACCAATGACTGGTTCTTGTAAATAACTATTTCCGGAAGATATTACAGGCGATGACAGATAACAGATAACAAATATTATAATTATTGATAGCATATCGTAACGAGCATTACACTGATCTAATAGTCTCCACGAAAACAACCAAAAATTTTTCTTAAGAAAGAAAGTGATTGCTGGTGATTTAGTTTTGTTCAACTGAAGTAGAGGAAGGAATTATGCAAGGAGGTACTTTTTCGTTATATGTACCTTCAATAGTTCTCTTACCATTTCAGGTGTGATCAATCCATTCAATCGTTGAGAATTTATTTTCTTAACATAGTTATAATATGACTGAAAAAGCTTAAAATACTAGAATTTAAACTCATCAGTTTATGGCATTTTGACATAGAAAAATAACGAAAGTAGCAGTGGAAAGGAAGGCAGATAATAATGCAAATTTAACCATAATAGTCACCAGCATGAACAGCATTCCAGACATCATAATTATTACTTCAAAACTAATTCTCCTATCGGACTCGTGTAAATCCATCGATAGGAAAATGATGAGTCAATTTGCAAGAGTTGTAATAGACTGTGCAGAAGATAGGGAAGATTGTCTGCTGAAGCATATTCAGAAATCAACGACGATCATTATAATCGTCCAATGTAATGGGCATTATTTGAATAGATCCCAAGCCTTTCTGCGTTTTTCCCTTGTGATGGCACAATTTTCTTTTTGAAAGATTCAACTATTCTCTCTCTTCAGCCATGTAAAAATTCAAAAATTCCAGAATAATTATTATATACCAATTTGCACATATTCATCTTGTACAACATCACTTTTATCTCATTTTTCTTTAAGCTTATATCGCAGCAATGTTTATTGTTGTCGCAAAAAATAACATGATAACGACAATAATAGTAATAATA